GGCCTGACCCTCGCGAGGGTCAGGCCCGCCTGACNTTATAGTATAGAGTAGTAATTTTTTGGATGCTAGCTGGAATCTCACTCCCAGGCTCTCAGTGCAGCATCCGCTAGTCCTGCAAGCCAGACCATTTCCCAAATAACTGTAGGCTCGGGAATGAATGGTCTGGCTTGCGAGACTAGATTCCACTGAGATTCCACTCTATAGATTGTGCTGGTAATATTTAGAATCATTGTGAAAAAAAAAACAAATTATATATAGATCTATAATCTAGAAAATAGAGTTGTTATTAATATAGTTAGAATTATTAATGATTATTTTATGTTAGAGTTCGGTATGAAACAACACTGATCCTGTTTTAGTATATCCGAGAAACTCTGAAACTTGTTGGCTTTTAACATTATCAAAATCAATGTAACCTACTGGAGTGATTTCTTCGGCTAAAATCTTTTCCATCAACTCCGCTTTAACTATGGTAGCTAAACCTTTCCCACGATGCTCTTCATGAGTATATAAGTGCTGAAGAATACCTAGTCCTGATGATACATTCCAGGAGACTGGACGAGGAGGTTCTGTTGATGTATCATAAATTGCAGCATTTGGATGATGGGCAATCAAATGCCGCATCAACTGTTTCATTTTAAGACTATTTTTAGCTAATTTCCATTTTGATACAACATACTCAACATCAGACGAGTGAATGCTATCAATTATATATCCTTCAGAAAGAGCCGGTCTATACAAAATTTATAACTTTATATCATTAAAATGAGATACCTTTCGATCTTTGTGGTATTCTGTGTGTAAACATATCGAAATGTAGGTACTGAAATTTTTTGATCTATCCCTAATTTCTTCATTTCTTGAAAAACCTCTTCACAACCTGTTAAATACCATAATTATAATGAATGTAATTTTTGAGGGAGTAAATGTGGCAGAATAAAATCATGCAGCCATCAATATGCTTGCACATGCATAATGACACAATTTTTCTCTCTAAAATCAATTGCTGAAGTACATGATAAGTTACCAGTAATCATTGGTTGCTGGGCATTGTCGAGAAGTGAATCAATTACAGACTTTAATGTAACAGCAGTTTTTGAATTATCAGTACCAAATGGATAGATAACTAAAATAATAGAGATAATAGTACCACAATGGACTGACAGCAATTACTAACATGTAAATTCTCCTTCATTATAAGTATAGATAACAGTTTTTACATCAGGCCAGCTGTCGTCAGTGAAAACTTTGGCATTGAGCTCCTTTGCTAACTTTAATCCACATATAATCTAAATTTTACAAAAATTAATGCTATAGAATAGATATTTTGTTTATTACCTCTATTGTGTCAGGCAGGTGTTTGTATAAGAAACCTTTCAATTCTTCTCTCTTACTATCATCAACAACTTCAATTGCAGTCAGTTTCTCCATTTGCAGCTAGCCCAAGGAAAATAGATAGTAGAGTCTGGCTACGTGAGGTATACCATAGATATAGAGTACATTTACTCTAGTTTACCATAGATACTATTGTCATGTTGAGTTTACTAACTGATACTACAAACACTTATTGGACTTGCCACGCTTTTTGCCCTCGCCCATGCTGTAGGCATATAGGCGAGGGGTACTGTCATGACACTTTTTGTCACATCAAAAGTTGTCCTACTGGTCAAAATTGTGCTGCTACTTTATGTCCTACTTGAGATTATTTTGTCCTACCTTCCTAGGATAAAAATTGGCTACTCAAATTTGTTCTGGGATAAAAATTGGCTGCTAAAATTTGTCCTACATTTGATTATTAAAATATTTGAAGGGCTGAACATTCCGCTACTTTTACTGTTTGAATTGAAGAGTTATCACTATTGTAGAGTTGTAGTCAATGCATTACATCAATAAACAAAGATTAAGTAATTTTTATACTGTCAAGACAAGTAATGGATGATTATTAATTTTAGCAATTTTTAGATTTCTATTGATAGTTCTGATTAATCCACACCTTTCTTGGTATATTTTCACACTGTTCATGGATCCATAGATACCTTATAGTGCTTTATTTTGGCGACGTTTTATTTTGATGATTTTGCTGTGAAATTGTTACTGGTGGTGTTTGATTTGGCGATTTTTGTGTACACATGCATTACTGAGCATGCTCATTAATGATTGGCGGTTTTATATTAGTGATTTTGTTTGCAATCTGCCATTGATAGTAGACATGTGTCTACTATCTATGAATCTGCCAATTGCCAAAATAAAACTCCACCATGGTCACATGCACTTTTTGCAGGAAGTGACATCATTACCCATGTGGAAAAATTATAGTACATGTGTATCACATGTACCTGAAGCATTTACCGGTAATAAGTAAATACTTTTAGGACTAGTATTCTCAACATGAGGATTTTAATTGATACACCAAAGGTGAAGGAAACAAAGGAGAGGAAATATAAAAGAGAAAAAATATATGGTAGACAGTGCAAAACATTATTATCCTGTGCATTAAATCATAATAACAGATGAAGTTGATCTTAGTATGACATGAATCAATGCATAATACTGTTTAGTAGATGATTAACTTACTGTTGCTAATAGTCTTAGTTCAATTAGCAGTAAAACACCACCTTCATTATATGTAACTCGCATTTATTAATACTAGATTATTAATAGTTATGAATTGAGCAAAATTGCAAAAAAATTAGTACATGCTAAATGTGACCATAATTGACAAAAGGTACCTTATGGCGGGTAGTGAAATTTGTCTTTCTAGCCTAAGAAATCCAACTTCCTGAGCCCCAGTTATCATAAAATTACTCCACAGGATGCAAAAAGTAACCATGAAACTTTTAGAAACAATGATTGTCTAACAAAGCACTCACAGGTTGATATTTTCCATTATAACTATCAATTTTAAAATCCGCCATAAGGGCCCTTTTGTCAATTATGGTCACAAATCAATACTATTAGCAAAATGAAAATATTTATCTAGTGGCTTTAAGGTATCTATATAGAGTAGTAAATTTTTTAGATTCACCATGGTAGAATCCAGTCACAACTTCTGGACCAGTGGAATTCCACTCTAAATTGTGGTAGTATCTCTGATCATCAAAAAAAACAAAAATAATATAAAAAATAGGGTTTTTATTAGCATACAATTATGAGTGATTATTAGTGGTTCTGCTTAGTATATCCAAGAAGCTCAGAAATTTTTTGGTTTTTAATGTTGTCAGTACAACTGTAGCCTACTGGAGTGATTCCTTTAGTAGCCAAAATCTTTTCAATTAACTCTGCTTCAACTATGGTAGCTAAGCCTATCCCACGATGCTCTTTATCAGTAAATAAGTGAAACAAGGAACCAAGTCCTGATGATACAATGTAGGAAACTGGACAAGGAGGTTTTGTTGATGTACAATCATTTGCAGCATTTGGATAATTGGCTATGAAATGCATTATCTCTTCTATGCTTAGTTGGTTTTCATTTTAGTACAACATACTCAATATTAGTCTCACCTCGTCCCTTTTCTACCTCTGCGCAATCTGCAGATAGCAAAGGGGCAGGGCAAGACTAAGTCAATATTAAATACTATCAATTTTAGGTATATTCTTAAGGAAGATCTGGTGTATAATATTATGTTTTTATTGTAAAACATTATTTGTGCCATGCTTGCACTTACAGTGTTCGTACGTAGTTATGACTTATATTAAAACACATAGATCTATAATGTAATTTTAGTTATAATTATTATTTATTTTCTAATAATTTTATTAATTTAAAGGCCATTCACTATGAAACTGAAAAAGATGCAATATTAATTGTCTTTATTTATTTTTATACAGTGTTTGCAGTAATGGTGTATCATGGCACAGTTTATCAGAGAATGGAGTCTATCTTCATTGTAAATCAATGTACATTCATGTAAGTATAGCATTTATGATTACTGTACATTAATAGGGGTGGGCAATAAACCGTTTTTTATTTGTCGATACAATATTATTTTTATTATTGGACAATAAAATTATAAATATTGCTAAAAACAATAATTGACAAATAATATAATATTGAATATATATCCAATAAAATACCGTGTATTTATCGTTTACGTATATGGTATTCGGCACTTGTTGTCCCACATCTGGACTTCAAAGAGAAATGGCTATGGAACTAAATTCAACTAATACCAAATAGTGGGACAACAAGTATTGTTTGGGGATATTTTGGCTTTGAGAACAAGTAAATATGCTTACTTTTCTTCAAGAAATGTCTGACAGTGTATTGTAAACAATTTATTAGTAATTTAGTTGATTAATTTAATCTTCACTGTTGAGTTAGTAAGTATTAACAATAATTAGTTGTTTGACAATAAACTTTTAAAAATTGACAATACAATACTTAACTGATATTGCCCAACCCTATACAGTAATTACATTGCATCAGTGTATTAGTAAATTTTTGATTTTGTATGATTATATTAAAAAATATATGCACATGTATTGTATGTGTAATCACTTCATTTTTCATTTATTGCTGTTATTATTTTTACAGGTATATTCGTTGGCCGAGAATTATAGTAATTACTTATCAGTTCCTCCTGGTCCCCATCATATGCTACACATTCACTATCCTTTTGTTCTACACAATTATCTTCACAATAAACTTAGAGTCTCAGGGACTGACATATTGTCAGGATCGTTTGTTAACGTCAGTCACATTAACCCTGAGAAAGATACCAAGCTACCAATTGAGGTATAAGAATGTCTACATTATTTATGTGATTTTCAAAATAAAAACTTAACCATCAAAATAGCCACTAAGCCCAACATCCACAAAGCAACTTTGTTGTAATCAATAGCAATTTTTAGAACACTGTTCTATTTCAGGCAACAAAGTTGACAGACATCAAAGTAACCACAAAGTTGCTTTCACCAAAGTTGCCATAGTGGTGTTGGGCTTTAGGGAAGAAGAGCAATATTTTTGTTTATGTATGTACATAGTAACTGCTATGGATCATTTTACTTGTTTTTTTCAAAAGTTATGAGATTTTTGTAATTTTTAGTTTTCTATGGGCGATGGGGTCCGACTGTTGGGTCATCTTGAGCTTAGTGACTCAATGGAAAATGATGACATTAAATTGAAGAGTGAAGAAGGGAAAGGCCATAGCGTGGTAAGTCTTTTATTAATTTATGCTCTCCTGCTAGCTTATACTCTTGCTTTCCTTTTTTACTGTCTCTTACATTTTGTGTAGCATCTTTCTGTCATTCATGAGGTCCGTGGTGGTACTAGACATGTTAATCTCTTTAGTCCTTATTGGCTTATCAATAAAACTGGACTGACGCTGGAATTTTCAGTGAGTTAAGGCTGGTTAATATAATATAATGCTTGGCCAGCATACCATCAATTTTAAAAATTAAAAGAGCGGGCAATTTCAACTAGAATAGAACCAAATTCAACTCCAGCGTAAACATATTGTGAGATGTAGAGTAAACTCGTCTTATAATAATATTTTATCAAAGCCTAATTTTTTCATTATTAAAATCTTAATGTCAATAATTGTATAAAAATGAGCTTGGCCATGTAATTATTAGTAGCTTCATCATTTTAATGAAATAAAATTGGTGTTATTTTGTATAATTATTGTTTATTTGCCTTATTTCATAGCATAAAGCTCATCATTGGGGATCAAAAGATTCTGGAATATTAAGCAAAGGAACTGATTTGGTCCTGTTCTCGTCTGATAAGGTTAGCTTAGGAAAAAAACTAATACTCTAGTCAGGTACACATACATGGTATTCTTGGGCTTGATTTAAAGTGTTTGTGGCATAAAGCATGAGTTTTAAATCAGAGATGTAAAATTTTTGTAAAGCCAGTATGTAACAGGCCAGATAGTTTTAATCAGAATTCTCTTGTTAACCCTACAAACACAACTCTAACAAAATCATACTTAAATAATATTTGACACAAAAGAACAAAAAAGGTGACATTAACAATGAACAAAACTGAGGCTAGCCTTGTGTATCAGTAGAGCTACATTTAGATACAAGTAAAGAAAAGTAAGGCCTAATAAAATTTACACAAATCATAAGTTTCCACTCAGAGACTAATTGACACATGCAACACTGTAAACACACATGTACATGTATCTGAATTAAAATTCAAATTACATTGGTTGTCATATCTAAGTCCTCCACACAGAATTCTTTTTTGCTATTTTGCTTAAGATTAATCATAATTGCTGAGCTTGTAAATAAAAGAGAGTTTGTTTGACCTATGCAGTATAGTCACAGACTAATCTAGTACTTAATTTGTCTGATACAGAAAATGAATTATCATACCATTATTGAGGCTATCTTGATCCCTATATCAAAATCAAAGCCTATTAGAAGTTACACAAATGATAAGTTACCACTCAGAGACTAATTATTTGCATGCAACTCTGTAAACATACATTATCTAAATTATATTGAAACTACATTGGGTGTGATATCTGAGTCCTCCACAGAGACTTCTTCTTTTTGTTATTTTGCTTAAGATTAATTATATTGCTGAGCTTGTAAATAAAAGAGAGTTTGTTTGACCTATACAGTATAGTCACAGACTAATCTAGTACTTAATTTGTCTGATACAGTAAATGAATTATCATATCATTCTTTGTCCATGAGAATTATGAATTGGAGGAACATGTTTCCTTCCTCTTTCCTCCTCTTATTGTATAAAAGTAATGAGACCATTTGCAGTAGATAGGACTGGTGAGGAATAAACCTTTCTAGTGTAAAAGAGAAAAGATGTTTACAATGTCAGCTTTTGATCCAACCCTGATTATACTGGTTAATTTATACGCTGATGAATTCAGTGACAGGCAAGACACCAGAGTCTATGCTAATGGTGCAATGCAAGTCAGTATATTTGTTTCAGTCAACTACAATGGAGATACAGATGAAGGAATACTGGACCAGATAAAAGGACACGTGCAGGAAAATGTCGCTATATATTCGCTGGATGATGGTATGAGCCCTCTTAGTAGCGAATGGACCAAATCTACTACCAGCAATGAGTTCAATCACGATCTAGATCACTCTGGTGACAAATCTACATTAGGAGTCACTTCTGATATAAGAGTCCCTTTATATTTCACTGTACCGTTTAACAGTGAAGGAGAGCACAAGTGGATAGCTAAGATGGGTGAGAGTGAGACCAATTCCAATACACCAGTTACTGTAAATGTGCTGGCATTTAGTGTTACAGGATCTGATTTTACCATAGAGGATAGAGATTCAGCTGGTCAAAGTTTGCTACGTGTTTTACGATACACGCCTAATGTTTTCCCAGAATCGCAAAAGCTGGTTAAATGTATCGATTATAAAGGAATCAAATTTGTAGGAACAAGTGGTAATTCATGGCTCTCAATGGTCATGTCAAAAAAAGGTCATAAAGCCGGTTTTTTTCTCGAGCATGGAAATACTAAAGCTCACACTGTTTATAATTGCCGTTCATATTCTAGCAGTGAGGTTGAGATGCGTGGATATAGTGGCAAGCCCTATCACAAAACTTCTTGCCAAGCTTGGGAGGATCCAGAAGATATATCGTCTTCCTCTATTGATACTGCTTGGGGTGCTGGAATAGTTATGATACGAATTGTTAACGAATATCTGGGTTTATATGATGGTAAAAATGGCAATACCTGGGGGAAAGTCAATATACAGATGAATAATTTCCAGCTCCAGGATAACTTTGGGAATAAAGTGGAGATAGTGATGAACTGGGATTGTGGTGATTGGTATGCCTGCTGGGTCGTTAGTTCTGCTAAAGTTCTATACTCTTGAACTGTAAATTACTCTTGAACTGTAAATTACTCTTGAACTATGATTAATTAATGTACATGTACTTGAAATAGGCCTTTTGATAAAATAATTTAAATAATTATACATTGATTTATTAAGATTACTTTTTTCTTTATATATTTCAGTATTATAAAAAATCTTGATCTTTTCACTAAAATTTATAATTAAAGTGTTGCATAGCCAAAACTAGAGAACCAAATTTATGGAACATTATTGCTTTGTCAAATAATCTCATCTGTTTTACACTGTTGGCAAGTTCATAATAATGGTGGGTTTTTGTGGGCCTTCACAAATTCAGGTTTTAGTAGTGAATAAAAATTGTTGTTCCTATATAGGTATGATATCATTGCCAATTGTACTATGGGGACTTAGAGAAAGGGAATCATTGTTTTGCATTCAATGAGCAGCTTGTTGTAACTATTGATCTCTTTTCCTTATAGGTGTCTGTAAGAGTAAAGACTAAAGATGGATCATGGAGTGACTGGTCTAAAAACTTCTCATTAGATACTGTTGGGAGTGAAGGGATTGTCAGCTCCTCTACTGATAATAAAGTTTATCAGGTACCGGTATAGGCACTGAACTACTCCCTTACTAATTATATTGTGCTTTCTCCCTTTATACATTGTGTAGATGGGATTCACTTGTAAAATGGCTACTTTCTCATTCACAAAGGTCATCACTCTAACTCCATTCTACATGATACACAACAAAACTGAGGTAAGCAGCATAATTATTGCATGCAAAGATTTACTAATAGCAATACTATTTATTAAGAAAATTATAAAATTAGTTTCCAAAAGGTTGTAAACTTTCAATTTTTCTTACAGCATCAAATACATGTGTATGTATACATTGTATATGCTGCATTTTTATTGATCAATGCAATAAGCTACATGTATAATTCATAAATAGGATATTATAACTGTATTGGAGTATGATCGGCCAGTGAGTGACACTATCAAATTAAAGCCAAAAGAGGTTAGCCAAATCAATCAATATGATTCCTTTTTATATGTATTTATGTAGTTTGTGTCTTTTTGGCCACAAATTAATAATGGTAAAATATTAGTTGATGTTCTTGATGAGCCATCACTGACTACTTGGTCAAGCCCTTTTGATTACAGGATTAAAGGCTCTTATTTGTTAAGGCTCAACTCAGCTAAGGTAAGAACAAAAGTAAATGCATCAGAAAATGTAATGGACCCTATTACATTTTCTATACAAGATTTTTGGCATATTGTTTAGTGAATTTTTAAAGTTGCTTTTATGCAGCCACACTTACATGTATAATATCTGTGCCCAGTAAATAATTGAAGAATGGTTGGTCTTAACAAAAGATGTTGGTACATGTATGTGGTATGAAACCACCATGTTCCCCCCATTTTCTGATACATATATTTTTTGAGTAATGAGTATTTTTAAAATATGCCAATTTTTGAAAAGAAGCAATGGCTATATTGCCTGTGGTTTTTTTTTAAATGGCGCTAGAATCACATCAAATTTTTATTAAATTTTCTGATACATATTGGGGTCCTTATGCTTATGTGTAAAAAGTTTGAGCTGATTCCAACTTCAATTTTTCAGATACCCAAGGCTATAGCCCATGATTTTTTCAAAAAAATAGCTCCAAAATCACCTCCAATTTTTATTACATTTTTTGATACATATTGATGCCCTTATGCTGTGTAGAAAGTTTGAGTTGTTTCCGACAAACATTTTTGAAGTTATGGCCATTTTGAAAAATGAGCCAATTTTTGAAAAATACCCAAGGCTATAGCCCATGGTTTTTTCAAAAAAATGGCTCCGAAATCACCCCAAATTTTTATTGCATTTTTTGATACATATTGGTGTCCTTATGCTTTGTAGAAAGTTTGAGCTCATTCCAATTTCAATTTTTCAAGTTACAGCCATTTTAAGGAAATGTCAAAATTCTGAAAAATACCCAAGGCTATAGCCCATGGTTTTTTAAAAAAAATGGCTCCGAAATCACCCCAAATTTTTATTGTATTTTTTGATACATATTGGTGTCCTTATGCTTTGTAGAAAGTTCAAGCTCATTCCGATTTCAATTTTTCAAGTTATGGCCATTTTAAGAAAATGTCAAAATTCTGAAAAATACCCAAGGCTATAGCCCATTTTTTTTTTTCCAAAAAATGGCTTCAAAATCACCCCAAATTTTTATTACATTTTTTGATGCATATTGGTGTCCTTATGCCTTGTAGAAAGTTTGAGCTCATTTCGGCTTTAATTTTTCAAGTTATGGCCATTTTTAAAAATGTCAAAATTCTGAAAAATACCCAAGGCTATAGCCCATGGTTTTTTTCCAAAAAATGGCTTCAGAATCACCCCAAATTTTTATTACATTTTTTGATGCATATTGGTGTCCTTATGCTTTGTAGAAAGTTTGAGCTTATTCCGACTTTAATCTTTCAAGTTACAGCCATTTTAAGAAAATGTCAAAATTCTGAAAAATACCCAAGGCTATATATAACCCATGGTTTTTTCAAAAAAATGGCTCCGAAATTACCCCCAATTTTTATTACATTTTCTGATACATATTGATGCCCTTATGCTGTGTAGAAAGTTTGAGTTGTTTCTGACAAACATTTTTCAAGTTATGACCATTTTAAGAAAATGAGCCAATTCTAAAAAATACCCAAGGCTATATATAGCCCATGGTTTTTTCCAAAAAATGGCTCTAAAATCACCCCAAATTTTTATTACAATTTTTGATGCATATTGGTGTCATTATGCTTTGTAGAAAGTTTGAGCTCATTCCAACTTTAATTTTTCAAGTTACAGCCATTTTAAGAAAATGTCAAAATTCTGAAAAATACCCAAGGCTATAGCTCATGGTTTTTTTCCAAAAAATGGCTTCAAAATCACCCCAAATTTTTATTACATTTTTTAAACATATTGGTGTCATTATGCTTTGTAGAAAGTTTGAGCTCATTCCGACTTTAATTTTTCAAGTTATGGCTATTTTAAGAAAATGTGACCATAATTGACAAAAGGTACCTTATGGCGGGTAGTGAAATTTGTCTTTCTAGCCTAAGAAATCCAACTTCCTGAGCCCCATTTATCAGAAAATTACTCCACAGGATGCAAAAAGTTACCATGAAACTTTTAGAAACAATGATTGTCTAACAAAGCACTCACAGGTTGATATTTTCCATTATAACGATCAATTTAAAAATCCGCCATAAGGGCCCTTTTGTCAATTATGGTCACAAATGTCAAAATTCCAAAAAATATCCCCATGGTTTTTCAAAAAAATGGCTCCATAAACACCTCAAATTTTTATTACATTTTCTGGTACATATTGATGTCCTTATGCTGTGTAGAAAGTTTGAGCTCATTCCGGCTTTAATTTTTCAAGTTACGGCCATTTTAAGAAAATGTCAAAATTCCGAAAAATGCCCAAGGCTATAGCCCATGGTTTTTTTAGAAAATGGCTCCAAAATCACCCAAAACTTTTATTACATTTTAAAATACACATTGATGTTCTTATACTACGTAGAAATTTTGAGCTAATTCTAACAAATATTTTTTGAGTTATGAACATTTTAGTCTGGCCGGTGGCCCACCCCTTCGCTACCTGTGAGTAGTGAAGGGGCGGGGCGAGACTATGAGCATCTTTAAAACGGGCCAATTTTGGGATAAAGTTAGTAATGTGGTAGCATTTTAACTCACTTAGTGGAAAATCCTACCAGTCTACTCCATGTACATGTGCTCAGTAAATATAAGTGATATTTGAGTATTTCAATAGGTATCTGCAGTGACAGTACATGTGTCGGTGTCAGGCTTTGCTAATGTCATTACATTCCTTCCATACACTACTGGAGCTGCTCCTCTTCAGCTAATTAATACACTACCAGTCAATATCGAATACGGGCAAGCTACAAAGTATGTTCTGTATAAATTTCTTTCTTACTGACTGCTCCTCTTTTTCTTTTGGCTCTTTTTCAAAATAGAGAGGGTGACAGTGTTGTTAAAGTGAGAGTACTTCCATCTGGAGTCTCCAGGCTATTTGTGTGGGATGATTTGAATGCAAAAAAGGAGGTACTATGGAGAAAGGAGGGCACTAATACCTCATTCAAAAAATATAGTCTTAAAGTAAGTAAAAAACAGCCAATTAGTAGTTTACTAGCATAATAAATAATGTATGTTAATTATTAAATTTTTTATGTCCTATGGCAGTGCTGCACATCTCCTCCTGTAGTATATTCTGTATTCAGGTCACGCCATATACATGTAGCTGGGGTGTTGGTTGGGAATTAATAATTGTGGATTGGTGATTACTAATTATGCACATCAATTTATATTGCAATTGATTACCTGCAATTAGAAAGAATTAAAAATCTCAACTTATTGTGGTAGCTAATAATAGAATGATAACAGATAATAGCTTTAAATACTTGATACATTAAATTAAAGTCTTGTCATAAGTTATACAATGATCCTCAATGTACTTTTGTAGGATGATCATGGAAGCATTTATCTTTCATTAGCTGATGGCGGTGAGGCTGATTTAAAGAAGCAAATTATTGGCATTTCACTAGCTACTGCTAAACTGAAGGGAAGTGTGAAGAGAATCAGAGGAGGAGGAGGAGAAGGACAGAAAGAAATGGCAACAGATGACAATAAGGGTATACTTTATTATTGCTAATTAAATACATGTACCACAGTATTTCCCATGAAATTAAATGTTTTAAATTAACCACAGAGCCTTAAAAATCATATCGTCAGAAAGACATGAACACACTTGCAAGCAAGAGTGTATAATTGAGTATTATAATGAAAAATAATGTGACAAACTATTTTCTATTTTAATTAACCATTAGGTTATTGGGTCTCATTTACTGATGACTTGCAACGTGTTCTGTTATTCACTCCTGACAAAGAAGTAGTAGATACTGCGCTAGGGACCCGCTCCGTACCATCTCTTAATGCTACACTATCAATAGTAGCCATTGGACTCTCACTGGTTAACAGTAATAAAGGGATTGAAGTTGCTTACATTGGCCTACCACAGTAAGTATTGGATGTATGTATATACTTGTATGCCAGGGACTTTTATCATGTTTTGCTTTTATGAATATCATAGTTTTCTTGCATTTTCTCTAATACATGCATGGTTACTAATTTTTTGACAATTCTAAAATAAGAAAATACATATAGATTCTTATAGTCCATAGTTTTTTTAATTTTTTTACTTAGTTGTACATTTATTTTAGTTTATTCTGATCACAAAGCTCTATAGTCCATGTTTTAAATCTTTCATTGCATACTTTTAGGTCCCCTGTTTTGTGGGAGATTGAAAAGTCTCGCAAGCAATGGAAGGCAGTTGAGATTGAAGTCTCAGACAAGCTTGAGGAGCTGTATGGGAAGAAAAAGAAGAATGAAGTCATCAAGATATCTGGTGATGTATCAATTGAGTTCTCCAATGAAGATGAGGTAATTTCCATAGATTGACAAGAAAAATAAGCATAATTATGCCATTAAAAATTTTTAATATTATAGCTTATTGTATCATTGATTTTAGCAGATATAAGATGAAATGTTAGTGAAGTTTATGTTGGATTGACAATTGTAATATTGGTGATTTTTGTAGCCATGTATATGCCGATTCTTCTTTCTTCACAAAACCACCAATCTATCAGTATAAATTCCCACCAGTAATAGTATCAGTGTAAAAGTGATTTGATACTAGTGTACTTGTATACTGTAGCTATAATCGATTTTAAAGCCAAACGTTAAGAATCTACCATATAGCGGGTAAATTTGGAGGGGCTAAATTTTTTTGGTGAATTGCTAAATTTTGGTGATTGGCGGGTTTTAATTTGGTGAATTTGTGGCCACGTGCCATTGAGCATGCGTATAATGGCTCAAAATAGTGGGGTTTTATTTTGGCGAATGGCTATCAAAATGCCAAATTCGCCAAATTTAATCCCCTCCAAATTTACCCACTATGCAGTAACCAAAGTCTAATGGAATTTAGTAGTAGAATTATAGTGCTAATCCTACTAACCTACTAATCCTACTGACACTTGGCTAATGTATACATGCATGTACATGTACATTGTATGTAATAGGTTATTGACTTGATGTCTGTTCTCTTACTTTGTTAGGTGTATTTGATAAATTCAGACAAAAGGAGTAAACTGAGAAGAAGTTATTTTAATGGACTAACTGTTAAAGTGACTAAGTCGCAACAAATGACAACATTTAACTTAAGAATTAACAAAGTGCAGGTAATAAAAATTACTACAATACGATGGATCAGTTTATTAAGACAAGAGAAAGGGAGAGAATAAATGAAAGATAGAGGAAGAGGCACTTTTTGTTGTTTAGTAATTTTATGTACATGTATTATAATTTATTCAGAAACTATCATGATTAATTTGGGGTTTAATTTTCAACTTGTGCATTATTTTTAGGTTGACAATCAGTTGCCTAATGCTCGTAATCCATCAATATTCTACTGCTATCCACCTCCTCCTAAAGTTGGATCTTCTGCTCCTCCAAAACCTTTCCTGGAGCTATCACTTGTTCTTAAGAATAATCATGACATACAGTCAGTTGTTGGATTTAATGTTACCACTCACCTTTCTCTCACTTCCTCATCCTTTTTCTCTCCCTCTCTCTTTCTATCTCTTCCTCTTTTTACTACTAACTCCATGTAATTTTCTTTCTCTCTTTTTTTCTCATAAAGATTCTTGCAAACGCTCATACAAGAGATGGGACTCATCATTGATCTTGACTGGCTCGTTGAGCTGATTCCATTATTTCAGTTCTTAGCTGCACCCAAAAATGATGTTAGTATTATTAAATCATTTTAAAGCATGAGCAAAATTAGTTTAATGTAATTCTTTAAATTTTTCAGTCAAAATATGTGTCAAAAATCTAAATTTCTTAATTTTTGTAAATAATTGTCATATCTCTTGTAAATGTGCATACTATCCACATGAAGCAAAATTTTGTAATACAAAAGTGCTGAATTTTTGGCAAACAAAATTTGGAGCTACATGGCATGTAAATAGAATTTTCCATGGGACTTTGGCACAGTGCTCATGCAGCTTCTTGTCAGTGGATTGTCAAAATTAAAATTAGGCCAAAGACTCTGTATTATGTGTACATAGCCTTTGGCCAAATTTTACCAGAAATGACAAGGAGAAATTATAATTGTTTCCAATGCATACATGTTGCGTAAGAAGTTTGAGCTGATTCCAATTACAATTGGATTTTTTACAAATTTTTGAAGTTGCTCCAAAGTTAGACCAAAGTCCCTGTACTATAGTACATGGTCGTCGGTTGAATTTCACCAAAAATGGAAAAAAAGAATTTACCACTTTTATAATTTTTCTGATGCATAGACCCTAATCGGCCAAATTTTACTAAAATGAAAAGGAGGGACTTTTTCACTTTTGTAATTTTTCTAATGCATATATATGTAGATACTTATGTTGTGTAGGAAGTGTGAGCTGATTCTGACCGCAATTAGATTTTTACGAATTTTTTAATTTGCTTCAAAGTCATGTACTGTATTGTAGTGCTTGTCAGCTCATGAAGCTCATGTTGTTTACCTCATTTAGCATACTTGTGATTATGTTTACTTGTATAGGAGGAGCTATTGCAAGAGCAGATAAAAATGACAAAGACATCACTTCAAACTCTTGTAGCAACTTCTTCAGTAAGAGTCATATTGTACTCAGGATCTATAATTACATATTTTTGTTTAATCTCAAGGCTAGTTCTTCATCAATTAATAAAACATTCTTTAAGTTTGTTCATCTGTCTCCTATTGATGTAAGTAAAGAAATATAATTAAGCAATAATAAAAATAATGATACTATAATATCTTATTCTATTCATTTTAATACTTCTTTATCATTGTTTAGCTTCACCTTACTTTTTCATTGAAGCTTTCTGATAAAAAGAAAGAAGAGATCAGCTTTTTTGCAGATCAGAATTTTATATTTAAATATGTTCTTAACTTGATCACATCTGTTGTTGGTCTTTTTGCTCAAGCGAATGATGCTGAATTGAAGTAATTAAAGTTTCATAATTTAGTCTCATTTTGAATTTGCTTAATTACTATTGCCACATAGCATTGTATATGTAGCATTTCTTGAATGATATGAGAGTGATTGAGGAGAAAACAATGTCTTGCAATTCACAAATAATTTCATGTATTGTCCTAGCTACATTATATTTCTCATAATTGTATTTTCAAAAATTAGTCGAGGATTTGCACAATTCTTCCCTCATGCTTACATGTTTTAATAGGTTAGGGTATTTTGAGATAAAGGAGCAAGCTTTAACAACCAAAGCATTGCAGAATCGCATCATTGACCACTACAAGCAACAAGTATGACTCATTCCCTCATTCATTTTGTTAAGTAATAATTATTGTTTGTTTCTTGTTAGTTCTTGTATCAGTTGTACAGTGTTGTGTTGAGTTTGGAAGTAATAGGCAACCCTGTTGGCTTTCTTCGTGGATTTACTGAAGGAACAGTTGACCTTTTTTACCAACCATTCCAAGTTAGTACTTACACAACAATATCAGTTACATGTTGTCAGTTATTTTGTTCATATTTGTCTCATCTTTATTTGGTGCCTATTTTTGCCTGTCACTGCTTCAGTGCCATTGTGTTTATGTATGAGCTATAACAGCATTCTATGATCCTAATATCAAGTTGTGTCTATCAACTAAACTTGTAACTACTAAACTTTGTGTGTTTTAGGGAGCAGTTGTTGGACCTGAGGAATTCTTTGAAGGCTTAGCTCTAGGAACACATCAATTCATTGGTGGAACTGTTGGTGAGTAACTATAGTCATTAATTTATCAAAATGTTGCAGCCATGTAACGCAAACCTAATACTACTCTCTTCTTTTTTTTTCTCAATCTTCCCATCTCCACCAGGTGGTGTTATTGGAATAGGTGCTGGTGTTACTCGTGTGTTAGGAGATAGTTTTGCGAAATTGACTTTTGACAGTGAATATCAGGAAAGCAGGCCAGAACAAAAGTCATTTGGTAGAGGAGTTGAAACACTTGGAAAAGTAATAATAATGATTGATATTACTATGTACATGTATGGTTGTGGTTTGTTAGGGGTTTTATCAAGGTCTGACTGGTATTGTGACACAACCTGTGAAAGGTAAAAAAATGTTATTATTACAAATGCACAATAATCACATACTATAATTGCTTGTAAGATTAATAGTTCATCATAATAGTTTTATTATTTAAACCTCATATATATTGCCTTGTTGTACTAAATTATAATTATTTGTAATAGGTGCAATGAAGGAAGGTGTACTTGGTTTCATCAAAGGTACTGGTAAAGGTGTCCTGGGTCTTGTTTTCAAACCAACTGGTGGCTTGATTGACTTCACCAGTGCTACACTACTAGCAGTACAAAGGTAATGTGCTAATGATAATACTCATTCTCTATATCTGTTGTCCAGGACTACTCAAGTAGGTGAACTCAATTTGATGCAGCTTCGTATTGCACGTTACATAGGAAATGATAAGGTATTGAGAATGGAAATGCATCCAAGAATTTCAATTCTTTTCTTTGCAGGTTATACGTCCATTCTCTCTGACCGTTGCTTCAGGTTATGCAGTCTTTATTGTGAGTCATTCATATCAAGAGTGGATGATTCCGCTCTTGATCATATATGTATGCACATTGCACTTCAGTCATTTAATTAGTTATACTGGGCAATTTTATCATTTTCTTGAGTCATGAAATTTTAATAGCTTTTGCATTTAATTATGTCCTATAGGATTACAATAATGGAGAGCTTTATGGTAAAGAGGAATACATTGGTCATGTTGATTTAAATGATGATCCAATAAAGATATTCATAGCAACTGACAAGTAATATATGGAACAATAACAATCACTCTCTTTTGTTTCCTCCCTCTATTTATTATTGCTCCTAATATTTCTTTTTTGTTTTCTTAGGCAAGTGATGATACTGAGAAAGAACACATTTTTTGATAAATGGTCTTGTGATTGGTCTATGGAAATGAAAGAAGTTGTGGACAAACCTTTTCTATCCAGTAGCACTGGTGCTGAACGAGCTGTTCTGTTTCCTAGAATGGAGCACCAAGGAGGAGTCTTTGGATTTGGTGGGAAAAAGTCAGTCAAGTCAAACTTTTCCCTCAACATCCCAAATGAGATCAAAGCCAAAAAGATTGTGGCATTATCACTACAATCATATAACACTTTTGCTTTAAAACTTTAAATTAGTTTATGATAGTTGCTGTATGTGGTATTCTTGTGTGTGAATTTTAAAGGTACTTTCAAACTTTTGCTAGAATTTAATGAGTTCACATGATTATTTTTGTTAGCAGTTCTATTTACGTGTTGATTAATAATACCACAGAAATTATTAAAATGAAATTGAAAAAAATTGAAGACTAAGAAAAAATTGTTCGCTATCTATAGTTTACCAGGTCTACGTTAAATTTTTTTTAATCACTGATTTATAAGGAGAGACATTCCAAAGGAGCACAACAGTAGGTTTCAAAGAGAATCATGTCATTTATGTATGGGTATTATAACCATCCAATTGAAATTCCTGGACCATTGAAAGTGTTATTTAGAATAATTATTAATTTTTGTATAGATTTTCCAGTTATGACTGATGCTTTGGACACTGAACACTGCAGCCTGTACATATACTTTATAGTTAAACATCATGTTACTCTACATGCACATCATTGTGGGTTATACATCTATTATGCATCACAGGAAGGAAGTGCTTAATCTGACTATGCAAATGTTTCCCTACAGAGTCAACATGTCCTCCCAGTTGTCAAAGGCATCAAAAGTGAAGTTTCAGGTCTTAGACATGACCATAACACCGAACAGACAGTTTAGCTTGTGGTCCAGGAGTTTAAAGTGAGTTGTGATGATGTTTAGGTTGAAGTGTTTGATGAGATAAAAGTCATAAAACATTTGAAAAGTTCAATCACTCATTGCATTTTATGTTAGCCTATAGTTGATTTTAGCATTATAGTTTCTTACCACCAAGTGCTCTTTTCCTAGCCTATTATGTGTAAAAACCCATTGTACAGAAAAACAAGGAAGTGAAAAGCTGCTCACTATATTAAAGACTCCTCAATATTATTAAAAACTCCATCATATGAATGTATGCCTTCAGACTGCTCACAATGCAGAGCCTGAAATTACATTCAAACAGTGTTCTGACATTATGTCTGAACACAGTCTGACATTTGAATGAAATGGTCAAACATGTTCATTTATCCTTTTTACACATATTAGGGGTCATTTATGTGTCAATGTGTGTGCTTGTTAGTGAGTTTAATTAAAAAATTTTTTTACAAAAGCATAACCATTAATTTAGTAATAATTACTAATAAAAATTTTGTGTTGTTTACTAATGTTCAGACAAAATGGTAGAACAACACGGTAGTTGGTCGGACAATTAAGCAAAATGGTCGGAAAACGTCTGATGTCCAACTGTAATTTCAGGCTCTGCAATGTTGTCTAAAAGTGCTCATGACCATACAGTGTGCACGAGATTGATAGTATTGTTTTCATAACATACATGTACAGTATAGTAAATGAATGCATGCCCTCATGACTGCTCACAATAGAGCATTGTTAAACAACATACAGCATAACTAGACAATGCTCTATTGTGAGGAGTCATGAGGGCATACATTCATTTACTATACTGTATGTGTATGTTATGGAAACAATACTATCAATCTCATGCATGCTGTATGGTCATGAGCATTATTAGACAATGCTCTATTGTGAGCAGTCATGAGGGCATACATTCATTTACTATACTGTACATGTATGTTATGCAAACAATACTATATATCAATCTCATGCATGCTGTATGCATGGTTGATATGAGCATTGTTTGACAATGCCTATTGTTGTGAAAAGTCATGAGAGCATTTTTGCATGTTATTTAGTACCAAACACAAAGCAAACAAATTATGCAGCATGTTTAGCAATACTACATACACACAAAAACAGGGGTAAAATTTACATTATTTCACATAAAGATAGGTTTTAAATTTGGCTATTGTATGTGTATCTGATAAGGTTCTTCTGGGCTGTATTTTCCCCCATGTGTGATCAGTTTCACAAAATCTAGTGTGCTCAATATTAGCAGAAACGACATAACTCTCTGAGTGTACCTAAAATTATAAAAATTATGTGTACACCATACATGTAATAGCAGCTAGCTAAAATGTAATTAACATATCCCCTCTTTTTAACTCCCAGAAGGATATTCTATACCTGCCAATTGCCAACTTAGGCTGGTGCAATAACAACTCAAGTAGTAAATTGCCTGATAAAATTATTTACAATTTATGACTGAACAACTGCACTTGGAGAATAATCACCTTAGTAATAATCCAGGATTAGTAGCAGACCATAACAACCTGAAGAGAGATAAAGGAGGAGAAAAATAGAAGGAAAGAAATAAAAAAAGACAATAGAGGGAGAATGAAAAGAGAAAGTTGAGGGAATTAAGAAATAAAGAGAAAGAGAATGAGACAAATAGTGAATGCACATAATCATATACTGTACATGTAATGCACAAAGGGAAGACTGTCATATTTTTACTAACCACACAGAGAGCACCATATATATCAATCAACCATGTTCAATCAGTATCTTCTTAGTCCTCTTTCATGAGTCATGAGCATTATTGGACAATGCTCTATTGTGAGCAGTCATGAGGGCATGCATTCATTTACTATACTGTATGTGTATGTTATGCAAACAATACTCTATTCTAATAGCAACAGTATCACAGTTATAATTATATGCTATGTGTTCACACAATCCAGCAGCTGCATTGTATTTATCATTCATTAATGAAAATATCTGTTTCGTATTGATTTTCTTTTTGAATATGTAATGGTTTCCTGTGCTTACACAAGACTATACCATTTGTTTTAATTAAAAACATATTTGTAATCACTGTATAATAGTAATCCATGCCATGCCACATGAAATGCATGTACTATATTCTATTTATCTATTGCATGTAAGAATAATACTCCATTTCTTTATATACCATTGTTAATATAATAAAATATAATAAAAGAAATGATCACTAATGCAATGTATATACATTTACTTTTGAAGATGATCAAGTGTTTTGATTATCCTATTCACAGTCCTAAATGTTAATATTCTTCACCCAAATCGGCATGCAGTGACATGGTATCTTTTGAGAGGTACTAATATGGTTCGAGACATAACCTGCAAGTTATGTTGGTTAACTAGATATCATGTGATAAATAAGTTGCTATTAACTTTGTGTCATCCCCTATAGACTGCATGTCCACTAGCTCCTAAGGGTCTAACATGAGTTTGTTTTGCCAATTGAACAGGATATTAGTCTGCTGTAGTTGTACTGTTTGACAACACATAATACAACTTATACATAGTGCATTAGGTCTTTTGTCTTGTCTCTCTTGAGAACAATAAGTGAATCAGAGGAACATGTTTCCTTCCTCTTTCCTCCTCTTACTGTATAAAAGTAATGAGACCATTTGCAGTAGATAGGACTGGTGAGGAATAAACCTTTCCAGTGTAAAAGAGACAAGATGTTTACAATGTCATCTTTTGATCCAGCCCTGATCTTTCTGGTCAATATATATGCTGATGAATTTGGTGTCAGGCAAGACACCAAAGTCTATTCTAATGGTGCAATGCAGGTCAGTATATTCATTTCGGTCAACTACAATGGAGATACAGACAATGAATTACTGGAGCAGATAAAAGGATACGTGCAAGATAACGTTGTTATATATACTTTGGATGATGGTAAAGTAGAGCTTGACTTAGATGAATGGAAAAAATCTACGGAAGAGAACAGTTTTTATCATGATATAAACCACGCTGGTAACAATAGTTCAGGGCCGGATGGTTCAGATATAAGAGTCCCGTTATATTTCACTGTGCCCGTTGCCAGTGAGGGAGAGCACAGGTGGATAGCTAAGCTGGATGAGGAAGAGACCAGTACCAGTACACCAGTTACTATTACCGTTGTAAAGTTCTCTGCTACAATAGATGATCTGGAAATTGTTGATAAAGATGCAACTTATTGCAATCAACTCCGTGTAGTGAAGTACAAAGATAAAGTCTTTCCTGATGTGCAAAAGTTGGTTAAATTACTCGAATACAAGGGAATAAAGTTTCTTTCATCGGCTGAATCGGCATGGGTTTCAATGGTACACTCGAATAAAGGCCATAAGATCGGTGCATTTATTGAATACAAACTAACCGAAGATATAAGAATTGCTAAACCAGGCCATGAATACTGGTCTCATGAAATGATCAAGCAGGACATTCCTGTTGGCACTGGTGATAAAAATATACTTCACTGCGATTGTTGTGATGACTCTTTAGATTTTACTTCTGCCCAAGTTGAAAAAGTTTGGAATGAGGGAATAGCTATGTTTATGGCATATCATATGTCACTATATATACACGATGGTTCTGGGCATAATACGAATTTTGATTGCAATGAGTTTCTTGCAGAAGACAACTTTGGCAACAGGATAAACCTTCATTTCAACTGGGATAGTGGTACTCATGGCTGGTGGGCAAACTGGGCAGTTACTAGTATTACTATTTTATATCCATGAACAATGATTAATAATTTTTCTTTAACTTTTTGGCTTTTTTTTGGTTAAACTACTTTTTTCCTAGGCCCCTTTTCTTTGATTTATTGTCATAATTGACAACACATTGTCTATTCATGAACAATAATATCATTGATCTTTTGGTTTAATTTTTTCTTAAGGCATTTTTGGTTCATTTGTATATCTAATATATTACTTGAAGTCATTTACAAGAACATTAAAGCCATTTTCATTGATAAGCTATTGCAGAGCAGCACACTCCTGGTGTAAATAAGTTGTGCTTTGTTTGACTTGTACTGTGTATCAACTAATAAGTACTAATGAAAAAAAAAACAATAAGTATGATAAAATATTATGTAGGCTTATTTACAATTATGAACAACTCCACTCAGAGTCTTCTTCTGGTATTCACAAAATAAATCCAGAAATAGCATAGCAGATAATAACAACCTAAAGAGAGGACAAGGAGGAGAAGGCAGAAGGAAAGAAACAAAGAAGATGAGAGGGAGAATGAAAAAAGGAAAGCTGTTAGCAGCAACCTTCCTCTTTTTATTCTTCAATCGTCATTTCAATATTACACAGTGTGTCATATACTTTGTACTGTTTAAAATAATTATTTGACAATAAAGTATCATGAAAATTACTGGTATGTTACTGATAGTATATTACAGTAACTTCCATACACTATGTAACATTACTGGCTACTAAATTTTTACTAGTAGATCTAATATCCTTTGTAATGAATAAAACTACTTCAAAACAAGCAAGATTCTAAAAGTGCAGTGCATGTAATGTAGTCAATGTAAAATAAAACAGGATGCCCTGCAATAAGGACATCTCTGCACATTCTTAATGTTTCAAATTTATAGGTTGATATTTGGACTCTAAATTGGTATCAATAAAGTACATGTACTGATGAAATAAGAATGTACACCTCTGTATTAAGAAATAGTAGTACGTTAGTGTTCTGAATAAGTTAACCCTGTACACAGCAATCCAATTACACTGCATTATGGTATAATTATGATTAAAATAATATTTTAGTCTACTCTGAGAAAGAGTGAATTGATAGTACAGTTGTGTTTTCCTTTGCTTTGTTATGGATGATATCATAATGGTATTTACAGTTAGATTGTGGGTGTGGCTAAAGTGGCAACATGAACCAGAGCTGTTTGCTATTGCTGTATTTCTTACTCTCACTACAAAACTGTCAGTACTCTTATTTTACTATATAGAGTTAAGTTATTATTTTTCGTAGGTCTTTCTGTTCCCATATCACGTTTCTATTCATTTGCAGGATCTTCAGGAGATCAAACTTTTACTAATGTTGATGATCAAGCTACATCTATAAATCTATCAAATGACTTTATTTTTTATGGATACAATTTTAGCACAGTATTTGTGAGTAGAATAAATATAGAATCAAATAATAATATGGAATAATATATCAACAATTATAATCAAATTTGTTTCATTGAATCTGGCTTGCGAGACTACAGCTAATCCAGGGTTTTCCGCAGATTTTTTAAAGTATAGTGCTCATGCAGCTTCTTGTCAGTGGATTTTAAAGCTGCTCAAAAATTTAATTTTGACAAAATACCATAATAGATCTACTCTATTTAAAATGCTAGAGCAAATTTTTCATTTTAAATTTTTTTCTAATAGACTACGTAATACATGTTCTTGTGTTGTATAAAAATTGAGCAGACTCTGATGAAAATTAAATTTTTATAAATTTTTAAGTTACTCAAAAATTAGGCCAAAGTTTCTGTACTATAGAAAGTCTTTGGCCAAATTTTTCAAAAATAGGATAAAATTCTCTCTCATGTGCATTTTAAGTTGATTCCAATCAAAAATGAATTTTTTACAAATTAAAAAAGTTACTTAATGCTTAATTGTCAGCTCATGAGGCATGCTTTTTAGCTCACTTAGTATGCTTTGTAGGAAAACCTGAGCTGACCACCTTGTAGTTGTCATTATGACAAAAAAATAGACAAACAAATCAAGGTATAAAAAACAAAAAAGAGCGAAGCAGAAAGATTTTATTTACATTGCAGTGATTGATATGATAGTATCTCTCTGCTTATGACACAAAAATCAGTTGCACACCACACAGTCTAAAGTTATGCGCTGAGCACTTACAACAACACATTCTTTCAAACCACAAAGTTAGTAATACAAATTACCATAGTAGTTTGAAATAGCTCCCCCTACATTATGAATACATACCATTAATTTTTATTCTTATTACATTATAGATAAACAACAACGGCCTCCTTTCATTTCATCAGGCAGTTGATGGATACACGTCTGATCCATTTCCTTTACCTCAAACACTCATTGCTCCTTTCTGGGCTGATGTAGACACACGCAATGGAGCTGGAGTAGTTTATTACAGAGAAACTACTGCAAGTGCCATTGTCAGCAAAGTGGCACAAGATGTGCAACTTGCTTTTCCAGGGCAACCTTCATTTACAGCTAAATCAGTTGTAATTGTGACATGGTACAGAGTTGGATATTATGAGGAGAATAACGACAAAGTAAAAATAATATCAAATAGCATTATTAAATCTTTAATCTTTTTCAATTAACATGTAGCTTAATACATTTCAGTGTGTCCTGGCTACTGATGGGAGTCGTTCCTATGTCTTGTTCCTTTATCTTGATGATGGTATAAACTGGGTCACTGGTGATGCAAGTGGCGGCTCAAATGGCTTTGGTGGAACAGAGGCTTATGTGGGATTTAATTCTGGAGGGGAAAACTCCACATACTTTGCTGTAGAAGGTGCTAGGACACCAGCAGTCGTCAATATTGAAACTACCAGCAATGTACGTGTAGCAGGACTTTGGATCTTTCAAGTGAATGGAGATAATATCATTACTTCTACAACTGGTGAGTATATACAATGATCTATCATTATTATTATTATCATTATCATTATTATTATATACATTTATGTATAGTATGTGGTACTCCAGACCAATTATATGACAATGCAACAATTTTGAGCTACAACAGTATATCTGTTAACAGTACAGCTACATATAGTTGTGAAGATGGCTATAGTTTAGTTGGAGATGCTGTTAGGACATGCTTGAGTAGTGGAAATTGGAGTGGAAATCCACCTTACTGTCAAATTGGTTAGATGTTTACACTTAATTTTTTAAAATTACTTCTAATTATTATAGTCAATTGTAGTGAGCTACTGATTGAATCAAATGGAGGACTACCTGTATTTTATTCATCAAACTCTTACTCTTACAACAGCACAGCTACATATAGCTGTAAAAATGGCTACAATTTAGTTGGAAATGCTGTTAGGACATGCTTGAGTAGTGGCAATTGGAGTGGAAGCCCTCCTTACTGTCAAATTGGTATGTAAGTCTGCATGGGATAAGTGGCTGGAATTAATACAAACTACAGAAGCTCAATAAATACATACTTTAGATTCTATACAGTATACAGTCCTTGTTAAACACATGTACATGTATATTCTAGTAAAATGTGTAAGATTTTCATCTTTAGTCTCGCATAGCCAGGCCCGTCCTCTGTGCCTCCAAAGGCAAGGAGGGCAGGTCTGGCTACTTGAGGCTAGTTCATCTTTATGTTGTTGCTATAATAGTTACCATGGATGAAGGAGAAGGATCTAATTGTATGGCTCGCTATAAACACGAACCATCACTGTATATAAGGATATGCTGTAACAGTAGTAACTTAGGACAGACTATTCGTATGAGAGAAGGAACAGTGAAGACTATTATTTTATGTCCTATTGTAAAGCCACAATCCTGTCCACCAGGTAACAGTTAATGATAATACTGACAGTCTGACACTATAAAACTAGATAATAAAGACTGTAGAAGATTATTTGAGAATGGCAATACTACAAGTGGCGTTTATACAGTTAATCCTGATGGAGGGACTCCATTTGAAGTTAGTTAAAAGTAATTTATAATTACTCTAATGTATCACAGGTATACTGTGATATGGAGACTGATGGTGGCGGATGGACTGTATTTCAGAGGAGACAAGATGGATCTGTTGATTTCTATAGGAACTGGACTGACTATGAGTATGGATTTGGTGACCTTACTGGTGAGTTTTGGTTAGGATTGAGCAAGATTCATCGTCTTACTAAAGAAGGATCAAACACACTAAGAGTGGACCTGGGAGACTTTGAGGGGAACACAGCTTATGCTAACTACTCTACATTTGGTATTAGTGACAGTTGCACTAAATATATACTAACAGTAGGACGATACTCTGGTACTGCTGGGGATAGTTTGGACTATCATAATAGCAGGAGATTCACTACAAGAGATAATGATAATGATGCTTCACTAAACAACTGTGCTCAGCAGTGGATTGGTGCCTGGTGGTATATTATGTGCTATGTAGCAAATCTTAATGGTCGTTATTATAATACTTCAACTACTAATGGTGAAGGTATTGTTTGGGCCCGCTGGAAAGAGACAACTCTTAAGTTCTCAGAAATGAAAACTCGTAACAATTAAATACTGTCCCCTAAAGTTTACAATTACTATACATTGTGCATATGTAGTCTCACCCCACTAAGGAGCGGGACAGCTAAGACTAATTATCATTATGCCACTTTACATTTAGTATTAAAATTTATGAATTTACCATGTACTTGCTATACTACCATAATAAAATTTCGTGTTATAAGCAAAATATAAATGAAACACCGAGTTTGAATCAAGCAACATTGTAAAAGTGTAATGTACTCCAAAGAATTAAAATTCTTATACTCAAATTTATTGACTACAGCTATGACCATTCAACTACAACTAGTCAAATGAAAGGGAAATGAAAGGGTACTAGTTACATGTGTCCCTCTAAATTTCTCTTGATCAATATAGGAGCATACGTGCAGACAATCAGGCAAACAGACATGATTGGCAATTTGGCAATGATAATCACCCAACAAATTAATTATTATTTTTTAATAATTATAATAGCTAATATTAATGCTAGTGCTCTACATACCTTTGTGCCATAACTTATAAGTGAAGGTTTCTTTAAGATCAGTTGTTTACATAATATCAGTCCTCTTCGACATGACCTAAACCAACAAGAAATCGAGCAAGAAATATGATTAACAACCTGAGGATGACTGAACCCACGTTTCTCCACGTGTCGAGTTTGAGGGAGTGGCTAAATAAAATAATAGCCTAGGCTCAGTAGGCTGTACTGTGACTCTGGTATTGGTAGAATGGTTTTCTGACTGTGCCCGTGCGCCATCTCATTTGTAAAGTAGAGAGCAGGATAATGCATGTGAGTGATTGCCAGGAATAGAAACTTGTTCTATTTTGCTTAATTACTATAAATCACAAAATGATGTGCATCAAACCTTGAGCTGAGAATTGGGCCAAAGTCCTAGTACTATATACTGGGACTTTGGTCACATTTCATCAAAAATAACTAGGAGAGAATTTTAGTTTTTCTTTACACATATGCGTATATACATGTCCTCATGCTGAGTATTAACTTTGAACACATGTACATGTAA